AAGCCTCAGCAACACACACACACACACACACACACACACACACACACACACACGCACACACACACACACACACAGAAAAAGTCTAGTCAACTGTATCAACAACAAGATCCACTGTTTGTCTATATGAAACACACCTTACAAGCAAAGACACATACATAAACTAAAATTTAAAGGATAGATAACGATTACTAAGCAAGAAAGCATAAATCCAAAGCAGGCAGGAGTAACTATACTCAAATATAACAACACAGACTTCAAGCTAAAATTGTCAAAGACAAGTTAAAAAAAGTTACTGCTTATTAGTAAAGAGAATAATCCCAAAACAAGATACTATACTGAATGTCAACAAGCTTAATTTCATAAAACACTACTGGAAATGAAGGGACAGACAAGTCCAGACATAATAATAACAGGTGACTTCTAGATCATTAGTTCATGAATAGATCATCCAGATGAAAAAGAAAAATAATGCAAGAGTTAAATAATAACATAGACCTAACAAAGGATTTCATCCCATAGCTGTGGAATACATGTTCTTCTCACAGCTCGTAAGTCATTCTTTAAAACAGATCACCTTTTAAGCTGTAAAGCAAGTTTTTTTAATTTTTATTTTTTATTGTAATTGTAAAGGTGATGGACAGAGGGTTTATAGTTATGCAAGTCAGGTAATGAGTACATTTCTTTTTGGACAATGTCACCCCCTTCCCTCTAAGCAAGTCTTAAATACAAAAAAAAGTATTTCCTGTATTTTAAAAGGTTATAATGGAATAAAATTAGAGATTAATACAAGAGAAATTACAAAAAATACATAAAAACAGGGACATTAAACAACACACTTGCAGATCAGTGGGTCAATAAAGAAATCAGGTAGAAAATGTAAAACTCTTAGAAGCAAAAGGAAATTAGAAACTAAACAGAACCTTTGGAACATAGAAAAGGCAGCGTTAAATTTAACTTTAGGGCTGGGAAGGTAGCTGAATGGTAGAGTGCTTGCCTAGCATGGCTGAAGCCCTAGATTCAATTTCTTAGTACCACAAAAACAGAAAAAGCCACAAGTAGCACTGTGGCTCAAGTAGTAGAGTGCTAGCTTTGAGAAAAAGAAAGAAAGAAAGAAAAAAATAACAAGCTCAGGACAATACTGAGGCTCTGAGTTCAAGCCCCAGGACTGGCAAAAATAGTGACTTTATAGTTATGAAGGCCTACATTAAAATCAGAATAATCTCAAATATATAATATGATAAACTTCAAGATCTTAGGAAATCAAGAACAAGTCAGATGAAAAATCTGCAGATGAAAATAATAAACACCATGATAGAAATTAATTAATACAGGTTAAAAAATAAAGAATCAATGAAATAAAGTTTGTTCTTTGAAAAGATAAGCCATATTGATAATTCGTTAGCAAAACTGTCCAGAAGAAAGAGATTTAAATAAAATTAGAGACAAAAAGGGAGATAATACAAAAAAACAATGAAATTCAGGAAATATTTTTAAACAATACACCAAAAAAAAAAAACCTAGAAAAGATCCAAAGAAATCAATAGACACAGGTGATTTACCAAAATTAAACAGATCAAAATTAAGCAATACATTTTGGGAAGTGAATGAATTCATATTCTCCAACTTATTAGTTTGCTGATAGAAGAAAAATTTAAAGGTTTATTAACAAACCTGGATACATGATATAGGAGGTTTAATTCTGAGAATAAAATGTGTATCTTAAAAAAATAATAAGCAATACATTTGAAGAAGCAATAAAGAATTTCTTTAGTAATTGTCTTAGGACTACAAAGATTCATGAATTTTACCAGACCTTTAAAGAGAACTACCACTAGTGCTTCTCAAAGTATTACATAAAATAGATAGGAAAGGAACACCATAAAACCCATGCTGTAAAGCTAGCATTATCCTAATACTAGAATGAGATAAAACATACAAAGTAGGCAAGCTCAATCTCCTTAATGAACATAAACACAAAAAAAACTCAATATAATACTTGTAAACAGAATTCAAAAACACATTAAAACATCACAAGTTGGTTTCATTCCAGCAATGCAAAGATGGTTCAATATACATAAATCAATAAATATAGCACATAAATAGAATGAGAACAAGTAATACAGGATCATCTCAATAGATGATTAAAAGTCTTTGACAAAATTCAACATCCTCTCAAAATAAAATCCTTGAAGAAACTAGGAGTAAACTAAGAATAAACTAAGAAACTAGGCTATACATAATAAAAGCTATATATGACAAAATCATAGCCAATAATACACCGAATAGGCAAAAATATAAAGCATTTCCTCTAAAATCAGGAACAATTTGAGGATGTCCAGCCTATATTTTTATCAAATATAAAATATTTATTAATAAATATTAAATTTAGTTCTTGAAACCTTAGCCATACTAATGAGAAAGAAATAAAAGGGGTACAAATAGGAAAGGAGGACAACAAAGCATTCATATGTGTAGAAAGTATAATTTTATACTTGGACTCTAAAAATAATACCAAAAATCCTTTTTGATCTGATAAATGCAACAAAGTGGTAAGATGCAATAATAACATATAAAAATCTATAGCTTTTCTATGTAGCAACATGAGCAGGCTGAAAAAGAACTTAGGAAAACAATTCTATGACAATAGTCTCAAAACTCCTAAGTAAGTATGTTGGGTGCTATGCAAGTATATACAAAAATAATAACTGAAATTTTAAAAAAAATCATGGGAGATTCCAATAGTATAATTCCTTAGAAGGGCAAAATCAAGGTTCAGCAAAATAATAGAGTAATAAAGGAGTCACTATAACTGAATGCACATGTACATATGGAAATATCACAATGAAACCCTTTGAATAAGATGCATTCATTTGAAAAGTGAAATAGTTAAATGTGGCAGTAAATATAGCTTTTATTTTCTTTTGTTTCTCTTCATGCTCTAAGTTTTCTGTATTACTTTCACGTTCACTAAATACAAAAGCATTATTTATTCTTTTTGTTTGTATTACTTAAGATCTTAGGTAATTCCCTAGAGTTAATAAAATTATATCTTTTGAAAATTTGAAGAAAATTTAGAAATGACCTGGCCAGAAACCATTCAAAGGATGATGAAATAGGTTTGGAGATCTAGAGGTTTAGGTGCCCAAGCTAGTTTTAGTTTTACTCAGAAATCAAATCTTAACCCATTTGCTCTGCCTTTGTTTTGTTTTGTTTGTTCTGACCTTGAACTCAAAGGCCTGGGCACTGTTCCTGAGCTGTTCTGCTCTACTACTTGAGACACAGCTCCACTTTCAGCTCTTTTGGTGATTAACTGAGACAAGAGTCTCATGACTTTCCCGACTATACTAGCTTTCAGACTCGATACTCAGATCTCATCCTCCTGAGTAGCTAGGATTGTAGGTGTGAGTCACCAGTACCCGGGTTGCACCGCTTTTTTAGAGAACTATATGCAACAGTGATTCAAATGAGATGAATATAACAGAGGAGATTTTTGCTTCTTTCTCATTTTGAAAAAGGCTTTTCTGGGGTACTTTATATTTATATTCAAATTGTTCTAACTTTAATAAAGTCTATTTGTTTATAATAAGGAGACCATACATAATTTCCTGTAATAAAAGACCTTAAAAGCATTTCACCTAAATAATTTATCAGGCTTTTATGTTTCATTTGGATTTGTATGTTGGTGTTAATGCACTTACAACTGGATTTTACACAAATCTCAGAGGCTAATTCTTATTACTGGTATCTTGTGTCACTGTGTGTTTTCTTCAAAGACTCTTACCTCATACATCACTATAAATAGGAAAGAAATAGTGAACATACTTAGACAAACTTTTACTGGAGACATGTGAATAAATATTCAATTTATTTGTATTTAATTGTTTTAAAATAAATTTTTTCCTCTTATATTTCTAATGTGAAGGTAAACATCTTTAGTTCAAGTGAAGTCTTCTTTTGGATCTTGGCTCTGAAGCTACTTTTTATTTCAAATATCAGGAAAATGAGCTCACGCTCTTCCTTTCAACTAAGTTTAAACAGTAGCTCTGACACCTAGTTTATATTGCAGTTGAATTTAATTTCCTCCTCCTTATTTTCTCAGGATTTATACAGAAACTGTTCAATTTTACCTCTGGTTGAGATGAGCCTGGTGTATTTGTATAAATGCACAGCTGTGGAGCTTTCAAATGTCCTCCTGATGGAAGTATAGACACTTTTTTCTCATTTTCCTCTGGCATGGCTTCTGTTTCATATCCTAATGGTATTACTTCGTCATCTTCTGTTATTTCCAGGATAGGGATAGTGGGGAATGAAACCTGTGGGTAGGAAAGTGCATATGAAGGTGTTGGTTTATCATTTTTAGGAAAAACAACAATTGAACATCTAATATGGCAAATGTTGGCATAATCAGTCTTTTATCACTGTAATCTAGCAGCTATAAAATACAGAAATAAAGTAAGCTAACAGTCACTACTCAGTAGGCAGCATTTAAAATTAATAAACTAAAGTCAATTTACCCATATTCTTTATCATATAACCATTGATATTTGTAAATTACTATATTCTGTAATAATACTACAGTGAGAAAGTCTTCAATTGCCTGAAATCACAGAATATGACGCACAAAAATGACCAATGTTTGTAAGACACTACTTATAAAGCAGTAGTTTTTATATATCTGGATCTTATAACATCTTTTTTAAAAAATCTAGGGTATGACATTTTACTGTTACACTATTACAGACATGTCATGAAAGAAAGGAAATTTTAATAACAAGATAACACTAAGAACAAATGACAAAATCCCAATCATATAATCAAATGAATGACATTTTAATAATATGCTCCAAAGAATAAATTTTTTAAAAATATACATTTTTAAGCTAAATAAATTTGCTTGGTGAAAAATTCTTTTTATTGTCCTTTTTCCCTCATCTTGAGCTGGGGAAAACATAGATATTGATTTCGGAACCACTGAGCCTAGGATGGAAATATTTAAGTACTATTTGTAAAGCAACAGGAAAAAAATGTTTAATCTTTGTTGGTTTATATGGAAATTCACTGCTTAATTAAATGGATATAGCCTATAAAATTAGCAGAAAAGCAAACTATATTAGATGAATTCCCTTTTTTACTGATCTTTATTTTGAAATACATGACATTGTTACATGTGCTAAGTTTACAACATGAATAAATTAGAAGTTTTTGGTGCGAAAGGGCCAAGAATAGGGTGAGGTCTATGCATCCACCTGAAGGCCTTATGTAGAATTTCATTTTTTTCTTCTTATGTTCCCTTCAGTACCTTTTGCTCCCCCATCTTCACATGCATTCTTGTTTTGTTTTTGTTTTGGTGGTACTGGGATTTGAACTCAGGAACTTCAATTTGCTTGCTCAGCTAGTGCTTTACCACTTTGGCCATGCCGCTAGCCCTTTACACGAATTTTAAAATGTTACTATTCTATGCTGAAGCCTCTTTCCAGAATGTAATTCTACTTTAAAAACTGTAATGGAGAGAGGAAGGCTAAGTAAATAGTCATAATATTCAATGTGTGAATGTGAATATGGAACCATATAACTTGAGGTGATTGTGTTGAGGGGAAGAATGATGGAAGGGGTAAGCAAGATGGCTTTACTCATAAACTGATGTGTTGAAGTTGTACTTTGTACAACTACTTAAAGACAATAAAAATGTGTAATAGTGTAGATACAATAGAAAAAATATGAAATACCTGAATACTTTTTGAATATGTTTTTAAATTTCCATTTATATATATTTTTTCTCTTCCATAGAACAATGGCTACTAGACTTTCTCTTCTAAGTTCCCTTACCTCAGCTGCAGTAGTTTCAGATGTAACAGGAACATCTGTTTAAAAAAATATTTTTAATGTTTAAGTTTTATGGGTTTTTTGCACACATTATTTGTATGCATATACATTCAATGAAGAGTAACTTAAAGCATTAACTCAAACATAAATATGACACTAAAAACAGGCTGATGAGTCTCAAAGAAATAAAAGTAGTAGTTAATGAACAAGTATGATGAAAACATGAGACTATGTATGAAGGGTTAAGATTGCTATTTGTCACTTTCTTTTTTTTTTTGGTCGGTCGTGGGGCTTGAACTCTGGGCTTGGGTACTGTGCCCTCCACTCTTCAGCTCAAGGGTAGTCCTCTACCACTTAAGCCACAGTGCCACTTCTGGCTTTCTGAGTGGTTTGAGATAAAAGAGTCTCACAGTCTTTCCTGCCCAGGCTGGCTTTGAACCTCGATCCTCAGATCTCAGCCTCCTGAGTAGCTAGGATTACAGGCATGAGCCACTGGCACCCGGGGTATTTGTCACTTTCTTTAGTAACCTATGTGCTATTTTCTAAAGTGTCTATTTTGTATTCCTACCAACAGTTTCCAAGAGTTCCAGTTTCATCACATCCTCATCTATATGTTATCATTTGAATCTTTGTTAGTAGCCATCCTAACAAGTATGGTGTATCTCATTATGATTCTTAAATCATTTTTAGTTAATTTTAAATAAAAGATTTCATTATATTTTCATTCACACACACACACACACACACACACACACACACACACACACACAGATCCTTTGTACTAAATTAGACCATTTTACATTTCAAACATCATCATGTAAGGGTTCCTTTTCCCTGAATTTTTCTTTCCTTTTTTCTGTTTTTGCTTCTTTACTGGTATCTAAACTCAGTGTTTTACTAGGTCAAGTACCTACTCAAACACTTGTGTTACACTTGTGCTTTACATTTATTGTTTTAACTATAATATGTCTTGGAATTGTTCCTTTCTGTTGAGTGTTCTAAAAGTTTTCTGTACCGGAACCGATGTTTCTTAAGATTTGGGGAATCTTCTCCTATTAACTTATTGAATGTTTTCTATCCCTTTAAGTTCCTATTTTGTCTTTTGTGCCTATAATACACAGGTTTAGTCTTTTACTAATGTCCCAGAGGTCTAGCATGCTCCATTCATACTTCTTTCCTTTTTCTTTATCTGGTTGTTCTAATACCTTCTACCTTTGTATCTGAGCCCTATTATTCTGTTTCCAATTCAGTCTATTCTAGGAGATTTTCCACAGAAATTTACCTTATTGAGATTTGTATTTCCAGAATTTCAATTCAAAAAATTTTTAAGGATTTCTGTGTCTTTATTGAATTCCTCTTTCATAACCTGCATGGTTTCCTTGTTTGCTCAGCTGCTTATATGCATTCTGCTTGAATTCATTCAGCTTTTTATGCTGTCCTTCTTCATTTCATCAATCACTTTTATAAACATGTTTTAAATTCTTTAGACTTTCTTTTACACTATTCTTAATGTTTGTTACTATAGGATTTCTGACCTTTGAAGGTGTCATGTTGCCTAAGTATTTTACATATTTCTTGCATCTGTTTGTTGAAATTTAGGCATCTGAGGTCAAGCTGTTGTGTAGTCTTAATAATCTGTAGTCTTGTAGCTAAAGTATTCTCAGTGTCCAAGCAGAACTATGTAATGGGAGAGCTGTAGTATAGTTTTCACACCTGGGCAAGGAGATAGCCCAGTTGCCAAACTTTTGCATGTATGCTCAGAATACCAGATCTAATCCTGCAGTAATGTTCAAACAGAGAACTGGAGTCTCTTGTATTTTCTTCGGTATAGAGTTTAGTGTTTTGTATGAGTTGAGAACAAGCTGGTCAGTTATCCACTTCTGTGTTGTAGCCAATTTAGGAGCTTTTCTTTGTGTACTGAAAGATACTGCTACTTATACAGAAGTTGTTAGCCTATAGTCTAGGACAATTTTTATTTGTTGTACAGCTACCATTTCTCCTCCTTGGGACAGCACATGTGCAGCCCCTAGAAAGTGCCCAAAATGTGCACTAAGGTCTGCACCAGTGGCTGTCAAGTGAGGAACTCAGGTGCTCTGGCTACATGTCTCAGTTCTTTTAGACCCATACAACAGTTCACTTTATAGAGGAAAGAGGCTTTAGAATATCACATGAGTCCGGGGTCCCAGGTGCTGTGCTCAGATCTCTCCATTCTAGCTGGCAGAAAGCCACAATAGCCTGCAGATAGCTCCTGGATGCTGAAGGTTCTTCAAGTTTGTGTTATTTCTGGTGATTCTCAGGGCCCTGGGAGTTATTCCAGACAGGAAGATCACCAACTGTAAAGCCCAGCATAGCTTGAAATTCTCAGCTTAATTGCTGCCAGCAGAGGACTTATATTTAATTTCTGAAATAACCTTCAGCAATAAAACTTGAAGTAAGGAGACTGGGGCTGTGTAATATCACTTTGTTCTCACAAGCCATCCTGGCACCTATCACCTAGCTGGGTAATAGGGGTTTTCCACCCAGCTTCAAAGGCCTAGAAGTGAGACAAGTTACCCATTAAATTGCAGATGCTTATTAGCTCTAGGGAGGCTGGGAAAGTCCTGCTTCAAAAAATATCAGCTGCATCATGTTGTTTAGTCCCAGGAAAAGCTCTGCTCCTTGTGCAGTGTTTACGGTCTGCTTGTGTTGGGCTTGAGTGCCCCTACCCAAGCATGCCGTTTTTTATCTTTAAAAGCTTGCTTCAAGCTCTGTACTGGGCTGCAGATTTTTGAGACAGGAATCCACCTGCAGATGCCAGCTCTCCACTAAAGACTCCCAATTCGACCTCTCAAAATGTGGCTTCTCTATTTTTTTTTGTCACTGAGTTCCCTTACAACAAACTGGAGTAAGAGTTGCGTGCCTGTTATCTTAGCTACTCAGGAGGCTTAGATCTAGGGATGATAGTTGAAAGCCAGTTGGAGCAGGAAAATCCGTGAGACTCTGATCTCCAAATTAATCACCCAAAATCTAGAAGTAGAGCTGTGGCTCAAGGGGTAGAGCATGAGCCTTAAGCTGAAAAGGCTCAAGCTCCATACTGGCAAAAACAACAACAACAACAAAACCATTACAAAATAATAACTGGAGTAGTATCACCACTCATTACACTTTTTTCTGCTTCCCAAGCTCCACTCAGAGCTCTTACGTCACCAAGTAAAAACTTCTCCCCATCACCCCTACCACCCTCACTCCTACTACCCTGCCATGGGTCAGTCTCAAAACCTACCCTATAGGCCTCCATACCCGTAATTTGAGCACCCGTAATCTGAGCTCCTATAACCTGAGTCCTTTGCCAAGACTAGGATCATTCTTTCTAAAATGACCCTGAATGACAATGAAACTGCTCTCATAGGACAGAACCAAGCTGCTAAGACCACTGCGTGTTTTCCTTCTGGGCCTCTGTTAACTTTCAGCTCTCCCATGTCAAAATCCTCTCCTTCTCTATGAGTTTCTTGTGGCCAACTTACTCTCAGCCACTGTAGTCAGGTGTCTCAAGACATCCTGAGCTGCAACTTCTTTTTTTTCAAAACTCTGTAGTATCGCAGTACTTAGCTCTCAAAGGAAAGGGAAGCTAAAGACTGACTTGCCTCATTCTTTTATGTATTAATTAAATATCTTTAAATATCTTTCTAATAATTTGTGTCATGTTCTCAAATTCAAAACTTATTTCATTTTCTTTCCCACTTCTCCATCCATATTTTTTATTTCAAACACATCCCACTACATAATAAAGATGATCAGAGCATAATCAACATTTAATGTTTTTTCCTCATCTTTAAAGGACTAAAACATTAATTTTCTTGAAGTCTTAATAAAGTGTAAGCCTTTTTTGGAAGGCTATAAAGTAAATTTAATATATTAAAACTTTTAAGGAATATGTATTTTCTCAAAAACAAAACCCATCTAATTTTAATTATCTTAAAATTAACAAAAATCTAATATGTTTCTTACCTAATGTTCTAGATTCAGGCTCCTCTAATATATGAGTCCAGCTTTCAAATTTGTCAGTCATACTAGCTTTCTAAACACAGAAAAGGAACAAAAGAATATTCATGGCAGAACTCTTCATAAAGCTCAACAGCAAAAATAACCTAAACAAGCTATATTTGATCATCACTTCAATTATCATAATCTTTCTTTTAAAAAATTATACATGCACATGGGAAAAATGTATGATGTCAATTACCTTAGAATCTTTAGTATCCATTTTGGGGTTAATGATGCTTTCTAAATAGGCAGCTTTTTCTGTCCATGTTTGCATGTTTCTATACATCGATTTCATTTTTTTCAGCCTAAAGAAAGTGATTTGTTGCGGAAATGAAATAAGAACTAAGTAACAGAATAATATGAATGGTATTGTTTACAGGGTAATAACACAGTATAACCCACTTATTCAAAGTTCTAGATAATCAAAGGAGATGAATAAAAATGCTAAGAAAAATGAGAGTGCTTGTTGCCTAGGATTGTTATGGAAATAGATGTAGTTTCATAAAGACATAAACACATTTCTTACACTAGTGGTATTATATTTCTCAAAGTGAATCATAAATATGTAGGTAATGCCAGATTATCATTATTTAATTTATCTGAACATGTTTCAGAAATTATTTGATATATATTGTTCTAAGTATTTTGAAATGTGTGTCATGGTTCATTTATAAAAACAGAACAATAAAGTTTATTGAGAATGTTTTGGGAAGGGGATAAGAAGTATGACAGAGAGTGATAAGAAGTATGAGTCTGATCAATGTACATTGTATGAATATATGAACATATAAAAATGAAACTTTCTTGTATAAATTGATACTAGTTAAAAAATAAAAACAGGGCTGGGAATGTGGCTTCATATTAGAGTGCTTGTTTGCTTAGCATTCATGAAGCCCTGTGTTCAATTCCTCAGTACCACATAAACAGAAAAAGCTAGAAGTGGTTCTGTGGCTCAAGTAGTAGAGTGCTAGCCTTGAGCAAAAGGAGCTCAGGGAGAGTGCCTAGGTCCTGAGTTCAAGCCCCAGGACTAGGAATAAAGTAAAAAAAAAAATTTAAAAATTAAAAAAAAAACAGCATGGTAATAGCATCTCATGCCTATAGTCCAAGCTACAGGAAGTTGTGATTGAGAAGATCTCAGATGATACCCTAGGCAGAAAAGCACATGAGGTTCTGTCTCCAAAATAATCAGCAAAAAGCTGGGCTGGACGTATATCTCAAGTGACAAGAGCACCAAATAAGCAAGTAGGATGAGGCCTTGAGTTCAAACCATAGTGTAGACAAAAATAACAAAAAATAAAATAAAACCCAGCAAAGACATTACAAAAAGGAAAAATTTACAATCTTATTAATAAATATAGATACAAAGACTACAGGTAAAGTATAATTTTAGAACAATTCAAGAAAATAGAGAAAAGATAATATACCATATGCAAAATGTCTTCATCTCAGGAATATAAAGATATTTGGGGGGTTTGGTTTTTTGTTTTTGTTTTTTGCAGTCCTGGGGCTTGAACTCACGGCCTAGGCACTGTCTCTGAGCTTCTTTTGCTCAAGGCTAACACTCTACCATTTGAAGCATAGCACCACTTCTGGCTTTTTCTGTGGTATTGAGGAATCAAACTCAATGCATGCTAGGCAAGCACTAAGCCACATTCCCAGCCCAGATATTTTGACATTAACATTAGAAAATATAAATTAAGCTGAGTGCTAAGTGGCTCATGCCTGTAATCCTAGCTACTCAGGAGACTAACATCTGAGGATTATGGTTCAAAGCCAGCCCAGGCAGGAGACTCCTTGAGATTCTTTTCTCAAATAAAACCACAGAAAATACTGGAAATTGTGCTGTGGCTCAAGTGGTAGAGCACTAGCCTTGAGCAAAAGAAGCTCAGGGACAGTGCCCAGGCCCAGAGTTCAAGCCCCAGGACTGGCAAAACAAAAGAAAAGATAATATAAATTAAATATAATTTAGGTGATTGAACATGGTAAAGCATTTCACCAAAAACAGTATTTAGGACTTGAAAACAAAAACATTTCAGTCTTTAACTCCCATTTTCTGTGTGGGGAGCAGGAAGTGTTCTTTTTGTTTATCTCCCTATTTTATCTTGTTAACAAATTGACAAATTCTTGTTAAATCTTAAAAAAAACCAACTAGGAACAGAATGGAATAAATATAGGTACTACTAGACACCCATAAGGAGACTCATTAAATAATGTTCTTGATTGTTACAGGGGTTAGATGTGTGGCTCAGTGGTAGAGTGCAGGCCTAACAAGGCTAAGTCCTTGAGTCCAATCACCAGTACCAAAGGGAAAAATAAAGACCACGAATAAAACAAAGAGATCCACTTTAGTCATTTTTACTGTTGACCAGTGTGTTTAGACAAAATAGTAAGACAAAAAAAACCCACACTATAAGATGGAAAGATCTCCCATGTTCATGATTGGCAGAATTAGTAGTTATTAAAATAGTCATACCACTGAACATAATCTACAGATTCAACACAAAGACCATCAAAATTCCACGTTCACTCTTTGCAGAAATAGAAGAAAAATCGATCTTAAGATGTGTGCAGAAGCACAAAAGACCTCAAATAGCAAAAAGTAATCCTGAGCAGGATTGCTGGGCCCAGTATGACAAAACGGGACTTCAAAGTATACTACAATATAATTTGTACATATTCTGTACTACATATGTCAGTAACAAAAACAGCCTGGCACTGATACAGAAGCAGATATGAAGACCAATGGACAGAACAGAAGACCCAGAATTAAAACCACATAGTTACAGCCATCTAATTATCTATAAAGGAGCCAAAATAGCCTCTTCAACAAATGACACTGGGAAAACTGTTTATCTACATGAAGGAGACTGAAACTAAATCCCAATCTCTGACCTTATATTAAAAAGCCAAATCCAAGTGGACCAACGATCTTAATGTAAAACTTAAAATTTTGACTCTACTACAGGAAAACATTGGGGAAACTCCAGAATATAGAGACACAAGTAATTAATAGGATCCTAATTGTCCAGAAAATAAGAGCAAGAACTGGCAAGTTAAAAAGTTTCTGCATAACTAACAATTACCAGAACTAAGAGACAAGCTATGGAACGGAAGAAAAAAATCATTGACAACTATTCAAAAAAGGATTAATATTCAGAACATACAAAAGACTAATGTCTAATAATCTATGGAAAAATGTTTAATATCTTTAGCCATGAAAGAAATGCAAACCAAAACTACATAGATTCCATTTCACCAGTCACAATGGTAATCATCAAGCAAATAAACAGAAAGAAATACTGTTGAGAATTGGGGAAAAGGAACTCTTACACTGTTGATGGGAATGTAAACTAACTAGTGTGACCACTATGGCTATTTGCATGGCACCTCAAAACTAAGAATACATCTACCTTACGTCCTTGGGTGCCTCACTCTCACTTGACTTGCTTGCTCATAGCTCTTCTACTTGAGTCATGTCTCCAGCTGGGTATTTGGGTGGTTAATTTGAGATGGAGTTCCATACCTTTTCTCCCCAGGCTGTTTTGAACAGTAGTCCTCTAGGGCCAGCCTCCTGAATAACTAGGATTACAGGTATGAGTCAAAGGGCACAGGCACTCATCTTCCATCATTTTCTTTCCCTCTAACTCTCATCACCACTAAAGAGTCCCCCAGTTACAGTTATTGTATGTATGTTGTATGTATATAAATATCTGTATATGTTTGTATAAATATGTATTTATGTTTATAACTTAGAAACATATAAGTATGTACATATCTATGTACATGACTATCTTAGGTTTATTATTCTACAAATCAGCAAGAATGCGTGCTGTTTGGCTTTTTGAGCTTGGCTTATCTCATTCAACATAAATATGATGATCTCCAGCTCTATCCATGTTCCTGCAAATGACATTTGATTTTTTATTTCAGTATCAATCTCAATTACATTGAAATGACTTGAAATTGCTGGTACTCTGAGCATAGCTGGCAGCCAATGCAAATGCATGCCCTCTAAGTATGTACATAGTCCAGAGCTTCCAATGAGTTCTGTAACTCTTCAGTTACAATGTCTGGCACACAGTGAAAACAAGTACCCATTCAAGAATAAGAGATTTAAGGCTTGACCAAAAAGCAAGAGGAAAAGGCAACAATAGGAACAAATTTATACCATATCCAGGTAATGATCCCATTAAACCCATATGCTTTAAAACAGCAATGATTCCTGTTTTGCATCCCTCTGAATTCATAAATTGAAGCCTCGAATCTTCTTTGTAATCGTATTTGGATGTGAGACTGTTGCGAGGTTGAGAGTGAAGCCCTCACAAATGGGATTAGTGTCCATATAAGATAAGATACAAAAGGGAATTAGGCTGGGCACTAATAGCTGATGCTATTCAGGAGGCTGAGATCTGAGGACAGGAGTTTAAGGATTGCCAGCCCGGGCAGGAAAATCTGTGAGACTCTTATTTCCAGTTAACTACTACCTACTCATGAGGCTGAGATCTGAGGGTCATGGTTCAAAGCCAGCTTGAGCAGGAAAGTCTATGCCACTCTTATCTCCAAATTAACCTCAACAAACCAGAAATGGAGCTGTGATTCAAGTGGTAAGAGTGCTAGCCTTGATTAAAATAGCTCAGGGATAGTGCCTAGGCCCTGATGGCACTAGGCCATCACAAAACAAAACAAAAATCTGAAAGTGGAGCTGTTGCTCAAGTAGTAGAGTGCTAACCTTGAGGAGGGGGAAAAGAAGCAAACTCAGAGACAGTGCCCAGGCTGAGTTCAAGCCCCAGGAATTCTCTTCTCTCATCTCTCCTCTCCTCTTCCCAACTGTGAGAAATAAATATCTAAGGTTAAAGGTACCTGAGTTGTATTTTGTAGTGGTCTATGCTGGCTAGTACAATGATTAGTATGTTCAAAAGACTAGAAGGCAAAGCTAAAGATTTTTGATAGAGAAATATAATCTATAATCTATACAAGTGGAAAATCCATTAGCTGAGAAAGAAAATAACAAATTAAGAAGTCAACTAGTTTAACAGCAGATTAGAAACAAAACATAAGTGAACAAGAGAAAGTCCAAAGGAAATATCCAGATTGAAACATGGAGATAAAGAGTGAGAAACACAAAAATAAGCATGAAACTATGCAGTACATTGTTGAGTAAAGATAGCAACAGTTATGTTGTCTTCCTTATGAGTTTTCACTTCTATTCTTAACAAAACATTGATTTCCATTGAACAAAACACTTAAATTTGCTAAGAAATAATCTATGAACGCATGAAGCATCACCACAATCAGTATTGCTGGGCCAATGGAAAAACAATGGCCCAGAGGAAGAAATTAGGTTATGAAACAAGAATACAAAGAAATAAAATGTGCATTACCTTTCCCGGGGCTGTTGCTGAAGCTTTTCTAGTTGCACTATAGGTGTCTGGATGGAATGTTTCTTATCAGTTTGAGTTCCAACAGTAACATTCAGGTCCTGGGATAAGAATGCTGGATAACTTATTGGCTGGGGTGTAATAACATTTCTACAAAATGATAACAAAGTGTTAATATCATGCAAGAATGTACTTTTAAAATCAGTGGTAGATATTATAAAAAGAATTAGTATTATCTTTTGTACTTTTATTCCACCTCTCCTTTCCCTCCTCTGCCATGAAGAGTGTGCTGCCTCTTATCCCTAGGGATCTCCTTACCTCCTTTCTCCAAGGCTATATTCAGAAATTCGAAAGTTCTCCCTCGTTATTAAGAAAAATCATTCAGTGTTCCATTTATCTGGGAGCCTTTAGCCCTTTCCAGTCATGTTTTTAGGATGTCTTAAGGTAATTACAATGTTCCTCGAAACTGAAGATACCATCATGAGGAGAGTCAGTTGTACAGCAGGGCCTGAAAGCACTAAGAACACACCTAGGAACTACATTCTGGCTTGTGTTTGCTTACAGTCATCATCTGAATTATATTCAGACAATCTGAATTATAAAACTTCTATTGCCTCCTTTTTTTACAACTGGAAGGTAAAAGGGTCTGCAAACATTGAGACTAGCAGGTAAAGCAACTAAATTCCTCAATTCTCCTCCCACCAGTAGAAAATTCAGTGTTCTCCTTGTTCTCTTGACTCTGATTGCACCATAAGGTGTGGATATTTGCTGCCCTAGAAATAACATTGAGGAGTATGTGGATCCAGTTGGAATCTGCTAGTTCAGAGCCTGCAAAGCTCCCCGCAGGACCTCCAAATACACAAAAGAAAGCTTTCTATAGAGAAAACAGTCCAGAAACAGATAACTAACCCTTCTACAAGAGAAGGGTTAACTATTTTGGCTAATAAGCCCATTTAATGGTAAAAAAAATAACACCTTTAACTTAGCCACTGCACTATCACATTGACACTATAGCTTCAAATGAGATTAAAAAAATAAAGTAAAGGAATAGATCAGTTAGACAAAGATAAAGGAAAACTAAGAAACTAAGAAAATATGGACAGAACATGTAAGACCTCTAGGACACCAATAAAATATCAAATCTATGAATCATAGGTATAGACAAAAGAGACGAGGTCTAAGCTAAAGACATAGAAAATATATGCAATAAAATAGTAGCAGATAATCCAAGAAAAACTACTTTCCCTAAAATCTCACATAGATCCAAAGACATTAATTGTTGGGGACTTTAACACACCACTGTTCCCGCTGGATAGACCAGCTGGCAAAAACTCAACAGTGAAACCTCGGATCAAAACATTAGAACTCAACACCAAAAGCCACCAAAGGAAATTCTGTAACACATGGAGGCTGAACACTGTTGAACCACGAGTGGGTCATGGAAGAGATCAGAGAGTCAATTAAAATGTTCATGATATTCAACAAAAATGAGCACACAAATTGCCAGCCCCTCTGGGACACAGCAAAGGCAGTACTCAGAGGCAAGTTTATAGCTCTGAGTTCCTACACCAAGGAATTGGAGAGATCTGAAGTCAACAATTTAATGAGACATCGGAACCTCCTTGAAAAAAAGCAGCAAACTAAACTCCAATCCAGTAGATGGAAAGAAATAATTAAAATTAAATCAGAATTAAATGAATTAGAGTCCAAAAAAACCATAGAAAGAACAAAACAAAGAGGTGGTTCTTTGAAAAAATTAACAAAATTGACAGACCCTTAGCAAATCTTATCAGAAAAAAGCACAACTATGTTTATTGCAGCATTATTTACTATAGCTAAGATATGGAACCAACCCAGATGCCACCCAGTAGATGAATGGATCAAGAAAATGTGGTACATATACACAATGGAATTCTATGCCTCCATCAGAAAGAATGATGGAAGGGACTGGGAAGGTGGCTCAGTGGTAGAGGCAAGTGCCTTGCATGCATGAGGCCCTGGGTTCAATTCCTCAGCACCACATAAGAAAAAAGCCAGAAGTGGCACTGTTGCTCAAGTGGTAGAGCGCTAGCCTTGAGCTGAAGAGCTGAGGGACAGTGCCCAGGCCCAGAGTTCAGGCCCCATGACCGGACCCAAAAAAAAAAAAGAATGATGGAAATGGAATGTTAGGAAATGGAAAGACTTGGAAAAAATTATATTAACTGAAGTAATCCAGGAGCAAAGAAACAAAGGTCCCATGGTTTCCCTTATTTGCAATACCTAGTATATGTCTGAGACAAGCAAAAAAGGTCAGATAAGTTGATGTTAGGCAAAATGAACCCCAAGATAAAGACTCAAATGGTTTTTCTTTCTTGCTCTTGTTTCTAACATATTTATAAGGTGATTTTTTGTTGCTTTGTATGCCCCTCCCCCACAGTGTAACCCCGGTTTTCACTGCATTTAATGTTAGTATAATTTGTGGAGGGGAAGGGGAAAAAATTGTTTAAATAGGGATACAGGTGGACCCATTCCAACAATGAGATGTACAAGATGCTATGTCAAAAAATGAACTTTACAACTTTTTGGGGGGGTGGGAAGGGATGGTGTAAGGGGAAACAAAGGAGGAGGCAACAATGCTTGATAAGAATGTACTCATTATCTTGCTCATGTAATTGTAACACCTCTGTACGGTATTTTTACAATAAAAACGTATTAATAATAAAATTTAAAATAAATAAAAATAGGCTCAAGTGGTAGAGTGCTCGCCTTGAGCTGAAGAGCACAGGGACAGCGCCCAAGCCCAGAGTTCAAGCCCCACGACCAACAAAAAAATAAATTAATTAAGCAGATTAACAATATATTTACCACTTAATTTTATGAAGAAAAATTAAATCATTATTCTATGTTTAATATGTTCATCTATTTTTAACTCATTGAAATATTTTTTAAAGAAATTCTATTACTTGGAAGTATTTAGAACCATTATTAACTCATATATTTACTCAAGAAAATCATTCTAACTGCTCTATATGGTGCTCTTAGTCACTTCACACAAGTGCAATTTACTGCTCATAGTCTGTGGCAGGTAAACCAGCAACCCAAGGAAGCCCTCTTTTCTATATGTAAACTCTGGGATAAAATAACACATCCAGGATCTTAGCCTCTCTGTGAGTGAACTGTGGAGGAGCAGGAGCGGGGCATGCCAGACAGACAGCAGGCATCCCTCTTAATCACATTTCCTTGGTCAGCATTCACAGACATCAGCTTTTCCAAGCTCTTTAGCTTGACCAAATCGCAGCAAGATCCCTGCCACACAAACATAGGAGAAATCCATCCTGAAAAGTTCCTGCTATTGTTAAAGTGACACTGTTTCACTTGTGGCTTGAACCACACTTTATAGTTTATGCTAGATAAAAGCAGTTTAAAAAATGCAGTACTATGCTGGAAATGAACTATAGAAGTAGGGGGTGAGGAGTTCAAAGGGAAAACACTGGGAGAACTACTAAATATCCCCACGCTGCTGATCACATGTATGGTGTATAACATGTGAACACTGTTATATATTACAGACTGTGATAGACAATTTGCTCCAGGAAAGTTAGAATGAACTTGTGACTTAGAAACTATGTAATCACTTAATCACAAAAAAAAAAAAAAAAAAGAACTTCGGGGAAGGGAGGGAGGGAGGGGATGGTAGGGGGAAAACAATGGAGGGGCTAACAATGTTCAAGAGGAAGTGTACTCATTACCTCACTCATGTAACTGTAACCCTCTGTATAGTATCCTTACAATAAAAAAAAACAGTAAAAAAAAAAAACACTGGGAGAAAACAAGAGAGGGAGCACACTGCTCAAAACAAAATGCACTATTTATAAGATGATTTCTTTGTTGCTTTGTATGTCCCTCCCCCACAGTATAACCCCTGCTTTCACTGTATTTGATGTTGGTATAATTTGTGGAGGGGAAGGGAAAAAACAAATCGTTTAAATAGGGATACAGGTGGACCTATTGCAACAATGAGATGTACAAATTGTTATGTCAAAAAGAACTTTACAACTTTGGTTGGTGGGGGGGGAGGATCCAGTAGCGGGGGTAGAGGGTATGGGAAGGGGATGGGAAGGGGAAACAAAGGAGGAGGCAACAATGTTTGATAAGAAACGTACTCATCATCTTGCCCATGTAATTGTAACCTCTCTGTACGTTATTTTCACAATAAAAAGAAAAAAAACAAAATGTAAAAAATAAATAAATAAAGTAGATATTTTACAAATATAAAAAAAGAAGAAGAGAACACACCCAAACAAACAAACTCAGAGATGAGAATGGAAACATCACCACAGAAACAACCAATATTCAGAACATTATAAAGGAATACTTTTCAAACTTTTATGCTAATAAGTTTGAGAATCTGGAAGAAATAGAAGAATTTCTAGCAAATATTGACATGCCCAAACTAAACCAACATGATTTAAACCAACTTAGCAGGTCCATATCAAGCATCAAAATAGAAATAGCAGTAAGAGACCTCCCACCCAAGAAAAGCCCAGGACAATGGATTTACAGCTGAATTCTACAAGGCCTTCAAAGCAGAACTCACACCAATACTCCAACTCTTCAGTGAAATTGAAAGTGAAAGTTCACTACCAAACTCTATGAAGCCATCATAACCCTCATCCTAAAGTCAGGTAGGACTCATCAAAGAAAGAGAACTACAGACCCATTTCTTTGATGATCATCGATGCAAAACTTCTCAACAAAATTTTGGCCAATCGACTTCAACAACTCATCCAAAAAAAAATCATACACCATGATCAAACAGGATTCATTTCAGGGATGCAAAGCTGGTTCAATCTACGCAAAATCAATCAATATAATTCAGCACATCAACAAGAGCAAGGATAAAAACCACATGATTATCTCAATTGATGCAGTAAAAGCATTTGACAAGATCCACAGTCCTTCATGATGAAAGCTTTGGAAAAAACAAGGAATCCATGGAGCATTCCTCAACATAATAAAGGCTGTGTATGACAAACTTATAGCCAGCATTATACGTAATGGCAAAAAGCTAACTCCATTTCCTCTAAATTCAGGAACAAGACAAGGAGTCCACTCTCTCCACTTCTCTTCAATTTAGTATTAGAATGCCTTGCTAGAGCAATAAGACAAGATGCAAACATAAAGGGTATCCAAGTAGGGAAAGATGAAGTAAAACTCTCCCTCTTTGCAGATGACATGATATTGTATTTCAAGCACCTCATGGACTCCACTCCCAAGATACTTGAACTGATCTGAAACTTTGGCAAAGTAGCAGGGTATAAAATTAACCTTCAAAAATCAATGGCTTTTCTGTATGCCAATAATGAGACGAGTGTGGCTGAAATCAGGAAAGCAACCCTTTTTGTAATAGCCCTACAAAAATAAAATACCTAGGAGTTAACTAAAGAAGTGAAGGACCTCTACGATGAAAACTTTAGAAACCTGAAAAAGGAAATTAAAGCAGAACTAGGGAAGTGAAAAAAAAACAACCCATGTTCCTGGATTGGAAGGATTAACATCATGAAAATGGCAATACTGCCAAAGGCTATCTACAAATTCAATGCAATACCTATCAACATCCCAACCTCATTCTTAAACAAAATAAAAGAAGTAATCCAAAAATTCATATGGAACAATAAAAGACCCCAAATAGCAAAAACAATCCTTAGCAGAAAGAACAGTGCTGGAGGAATATCAATACCAAATTTCAAATACTACTACAAAGCCATAGTAATCAAACCAGCTTAGTACTGGCACAAGAACAGACCTGAGGACTGATAGAATAGAACTGAAGACCCACAAATGAACCCACAGACCTATAGCCACCTAATCTTTGATAAGGGAGCTAAAAAATAAAATGGAAGAAAGACAGCCTCTTCAGTATATGGTGCTGGCAAAATTGGTTAATCACCATACAGTTTTGGATATTTTCTCTCTTTTGGTCAGTTTGGCTCAGGGCTTATTAATTTTTTTCAAAGAGCAAACATTTTCCTTCACTGACTCTTGTATTTTTCAGTCTCCATTTCATTAAATTTTTTGCTCTGATTTTTCTTATTTCTTTCCACCTACTAATTTGAGGTTTGAGTTTTTCTTGTTTTACTAGAATTATTTAAGATCTTACCTGATTTCTACCCTAAGGAGACCAAAAAAAAAAAGACAAACTCACAAACTCTTAGGTCTGATAAACATTTTTGGTAATGTACCAGGATATGAAATTAATGAACAGAAATCAGTAACTTTTCTATATAAGTCAATATTAAGTAGACTGAGAAAGTAATCAGGAATCAAATTCCATTTTCAATAACCTCAAAAAATTACTTAACTAAGGAAGTGAAACAATGAAACACTGAAGAAAGAAATTGATGAAGACAGCAGAGGGCAGAGAACTCCCATGCTCATGCACTGCAGAATTAATATTTTAAAAATGGTTATGCCACCAAAATAATCTAGACACTTGTCAGAGTTCCCTTCAAAATCTGTTATTCTTCTCAGAAAGAGAAAAATCCATCTTAAATATGAAAATATGTGACATATATACATGTCATATGAAAATACAGAAACTCCAACCAGAAAAATAATCCTGAGCAAAAAAGAGCAACATTGATATACCATAATACCAAACTTCAAAATGTACTACAGAGTCTTAATAATAAAAACAGCATGGTACTAGCACAAAAAGACATGAAAGCCAGGGGCTGGGAAGGTGGCTCAGTGGTAGAGGGCTTGCCTTGCATGCTCCAGGCCCTGGGTTCGATTCCTCAGCACCACATAAGCAAAAAGAAAAAAGCCGGGAAGTGGCGCTGTGGCTCAAGTGGTAGAGCGCTAGCCTTGAGCTGAAGAGCTGAGGGACAGCGCCCAGGCCCAGAGTTCAGGCCCCACAACCGGACCCAAAAAAAACAGACATGAAAGCCAATAGAACTGAATGGAAGATCTAGAATAAACCCACATAGCTACAGCCATTTGGTTTTAGACAAATATCAGATACATACTCACCTACATCAGAGAAAAGACAGTCTCTTCAAAAAATAGTGCTGGAATAATTGGCTAAACACATGCAGAAAATGGAAACTATATCCTTATCTCTCATGTACAAAGATCTATTCAAAATACATCAAAGATCTTAAGGTACAACTTGAAACTACTAAATGGAAAATACTGGAAAAGCAATGACTCTGTGACTGAGATCTAAATACCCAGGAATAAAAGAGAAACTGACAAATGCACATCAGTGGAAACAATTAGCCAGAATGAGAAATTCCCCACCAGCTATAATGGTAAAAGATTAATATTCAAGAAGAATGAAGTTAGATCATTTGCAGGAAGTTGATTGGAAGTGTAGATCATCATACTGAGTAAGATGAGTCAAGCTCAGAAAGGCAAATATTGCATGATTTCACTCTAAAAGTAAAAGATCAAAGTGATGCTAGCATAAGGAGATCCAGCAAATACTGTCTGAAAGAGAGACAAGGAGCAAGGATTGAGAATAAAGGGGATAAACTTGTTCACAATATACTGTCCTTCTAAGAAATTATCATAGTGAAATTTCCTGTATTATTAATATATGGCAATGAGAAATAAGTAAAGAGAAAACCTAATTTAGGATGTCAAAGCAATTTTCCTCCAAATTGTCAATGCTACATAATCTTAACACATTAATGCAACTAAAACACTTACGTCTGGGGATCTGTTCTCTCCGGGGGTGGTGTAATCTTCATAAACATAGATGGCTCGATAAGTTTCTGAAGAGGTTTTAACTAGAGAAAAACGTAAGTATATTTTTATCATTACTTAATTACAATTTACCCTAGTGTTGTTAATACTTTAGGACTATGGTAAAGCTTTTGAGAAGAAAAAGAATGAAAAGAAGGACTAAATTTATTGAGTACTAAATATGTACTTAGTATTTTATAACATTAACCTTTCCTACAGTGCAAATACTGTACAGAGGAGTTACAATTACATGGGCAAGATAATGAGTACATTTCTTATCAAGCATTGTAGACTCCTTTGTTTCCCCTTCCCATCCCTTCCCATCCTCCCCCTGCCCCCCCCCCACGAAAGTTGTAAAGTTCATTTTCGACATAACGACTTATACATCTCATTGTTGCAATGGGTCCACCTGTATCCCTATTTAAACGATTTGTTTTTCCCCTTCCCCTCCACAAATTATAACAACATCAAATACAGTGAAAGCAGGGGTTATACTGTGGGGGGAGGAACATACAAAACAACAAAGAAATAATCTTATAAATGTGTTAGAAACAATCACATGAAAGAAAAAATACATTTGAATACATATCCCTAACATCACCTTATCTGACCTTTTCTGCTTGACTCAGACAAATACTAGATATTGCAAATAAGGGAAACCATGGGACCTATGTTTCTTTGGGCCTGGCTTACTTCACTTAATATAATTTTTTCCAAGCTTTTCCATTTCTTAACAAATTACCCAAATGCTTACAAACAAGACCACACTAAAGCTACCAGCACGACTATGTTTATTGCAGCATTATTTACCATAGCTAAGATATGGAACCAACCCAGATGCCCCTCAGTAGATGAATGGATCAAGAAAATGTGGTATATATACACAATGGAATTCTATGCCTCCATCAGAAAGAATGACATTGCCACATTAACCTTTCTTTTTTTTTTTTTGTCTTTTCTTTTTTGGTACTGGGGATCGAACCCAGGGCGTTGCGTTTGCTAGGCAAGCGCTTTGCCACTGAGCTACATCCCAGCCCACATTAACTTTTCTTAATCCTCTCAGTAAACACCAATGAGATAGGCAATTGTGCCTATTTTACAGATGATAGTGAAAATTTATAATTTGTTCAAGGTTATAAAACAGACATGAAGGCCAGAATGTGAATGCAGCTTTTTCTGACCCAGTGTGAGGCTCATTCTACACAATCATGACAGATAGTCAGGACACTATATCAGTGAAAAGTTCATGGGCATAAAATCAAGTTTGACATCTATTATCTAGCTCCATTGTTTTCCTTGAGTTAGCAGAGTATACCTACATAAAACAGTGCTTGACTAGCTTTATCTGAAAATAGTATGGATAAATTTATATGTCATTTTCATATTTGGACATAAAACCTGCTCAAGCTGATTACTGTTGTACAAAGCTTTTATAAGCCCTAATTCAGAACAAAATAAAGAAAATAGGCAAAAGAGAAAGAAATAAAAATCAAAGGAGAGAAGGGGGAAAATCTTTCTCATTGTGGCTTTCATTTGTGTATTGCTTAGTTTTAGTTTTGTTTTGTTCCAGTCCTAGGTCTTGAACTCAGGGCTTGAGCTCTGTCCCTGAGCTTTTTTTGCTCAAGGCTAGCACTCTACCACTTGAGTCACAGCTCCACTTCCAGCTTTTTTGGTAGTTAAATGGAGATAAAGAGCTTTATGGACTTTTCTGCCTGTTGCTGGCTTTGAACCACAATCCTCAATTCTCAATCTCCTGAGTAGCTAGGATTACAGGCATGAGCCACCTGTGCCTGGCCATTGCTCAGTTTTGACACAAAATGTGTTAACCAACAAACAAAAAAACTATAGGCAACTAAAACAGAGATTCCTCAATTAACATAGAATTATTTAGTAAAATTTATGTCTCTACTCTCAATTACTAGTTAAAAATAAGACTATTTTAAGAAGCAGCAAAAGTTTGAAATGAAAGATTCTATGAAATACAAGTATCATTTTCTTAGACGGCAGCATCCCTGATAAGACTAGCTTCAGAAATATCCCAAGGTTGTAATAATATCCAGGAATATCAACAGTTTTTCCCAACACTTGCTGATAGTATAGACTGGCACAATTTTTTAGAATAATTCCTTGAAAGAGCCATTGTTTTGGACGGTAATTACTTTTCCAGGAATCTAGCCCAAGAACATAATACACAAAAAGGACAAAGTTAGTATCCAAAAATGTTCACAGAAACATATAACAGATTTAAAATTGCTTTAAAACAGGCTTAAAAAGCCCTGACTCCTTAATTGGGCTTTCAGGTTAAATCAAGATACAATCCTGATCTTTTTGCATTCATTTTCTATCTGTTTCCCATTAATTTGAGTCAGATTCATACCCAATCCTGTACACAGAGAAGCATGGTAATCATTTTAGGATTCTCTGTTAATATTTTCAGGAAAATTTCCAATGGGGAATTCAGCTTTTGCAATGTTCTGTCAAGAGCCCATGGAGTAGAATCTACATGCCTCTTTATTTCCCTCAGCCTGCAGTCATCCAGAGATTCCACGAACAGTAGTCTCAGAGATTACCATATGATGATATCTCCCTCTAGTGGAAACAATTATCTAGGATAGAAACTGAAGTTTCTCCACACCCCCAAGCAAAAGCAATAATCTCATTCCAATCAGACAGTCCACTCAAGCCATAAGGACTCCTAAGGAACCAACCTTGCAACACTAGAACTCATAATGAACAAACAGATTTCAGTTCAACTTACAGATCTTAGTTGTGTATACTTCTCACCCTCTGCCCCTCATTTTTCTCTATTTAAGCCTAATGCTAATATAATACCCAAAAGATGGACAGAGATGCTTATTTCCATCTTTCCAGTGTGATCATTCTAAAAATTGAATTACACCATTATTTTTTCCATTTGATTTCTTAGGCAAATGACTAAACCCAATTTATTGAGATTTCCAAGGGTTGTTTAAGAGTAGTGAACACTCTCATATAGGACTGAACCAATGGGGAAAATCAAAGCTTGGATTATTAACTCTCTCTTTCTCTCCTTTTTCCCCCCTTTCCCTCTTTTTCTCTCTAGGGTTTGAACTCCAAGCCTCAAGCTTGATAGGCAAGCACTCTACCACTAAGTCATGCCTCCAGCCTTTTTTTGCACTAGGTATTTTTTAGATAGGATGCCCATGCCTGAACCATCAATTCTCTAATTTTACACTCTTATTACAGCAGAACTTATAGATGCAAATCACCACCTCCAACTTCTTCCACTAGGATGGAGTCCTGGTTGGCCTGGAACTATCCTACTCCTGATCTTACCCTCCTGTACAGCTGGGAAAACAGAAGCATGTCACCATGGCCAGCTACCAATTGAGGATTCTCTCAGATTCTTTTCCCAGGGTGGCCTCAAACTTTCATCTTCTCAATCTCAGCCTCCCTAGTACCTAGGACTATGATTCACAGCGCATGACTTCTATTACTCTCTTGTCGAATCAAGGACAGTTCAAATAACATCAGATATTGAAAATGACCATGGGGGAGGGGAGAATATATGTTATATGGTCAGTGTAAAAAATGTTATAACTGATATCAGTATTTGCTTCTCCCTCCCTCCTTCCTTCCCCTTTATTTTCTGAGGTATCAGGGCTTGAACTCAGGCGCATTGCACTCATGTAGCTTGCTTGCTCGTGGCTTGTGCTCTACCACTTGGTCCATGCCTCTAACCTACAACTCCATTTTTTTAAAAGACAAGGTCTCACTATGTAGCCCAGGTTGGCCTCGAATACATGATCCTTTTGCTTCTATCTACAAAGGATTGGGAATACAAGCATGAAGTATCATGCTTGAATTAATAACTAAACTTTAAATATTTTTAGATGTAAAAATCCACATTTCATAAATACTTAAAATAATGAGCTTTTAAAAATAGGCATCTTTTATTAGGAAAACTTCTATTACAGTCAACCTTCCTAAAGAGTATTTTAACACTGTCTTGATTATAAAATAGAATAGAAACGACCATTTTCCAAATCCCTTTCTCTTCACATCTGTGATTCAGTGTGAAGTATAGAGAAGAACCGCAAAAACTAGGTTAGGGGGTCGATGCAGTTCTTTCCTTTAGTATTTCCCAGTTATCAGTTTTTATTTGTGTAGGCACCACACAAAAATAACACAAAATAAGCTGAGCACTGGAAGCTCACACCTATAATCCCAGACTTAGGAGGCTGAGATTTGAAGAATATGATTTGAAACCAGCCTGGGCAGAAAAGTCCTTGTGAGACTCTTACCTCCAATTAACCATTCAAAAACTAGAAGTGGAGCTGTGGCTCAAAGCACTAGAGCGCTAGTCCTGAGTAAAAGAGCTTCAGGCCCTGAGTTCAAAACTCCCATAACCAACAACAACAACAACAAAAAGGCCCAAAACAAAAAACCCACAAAACAATAAAGACAATCTGAATAAAATCATCCTTTGAAATGTATAAACAAATAATGGCAAACTCTCATATTTATACACTGGAATTAGAATATAGAGAAGCATTTAAAAATATTTGAGCTACAAAACAGAGTAACATTTTAAAAAGGGAACTAACCTGATGTGAAAATCCATACCCAAAGTTTCCATAGGTGAACATAAACTCCACATCCAACTTGCAGACAAACTAAACATGTGGCAAATTTATTATTTGATCAGAATGATGTTGAAAAAGTGATGGCAAGTATTATTTTTATATCACAAATCTATAAACTAGAAAGGTCTACTTATGAATCTCCTTATTTAAAAAAAAAAAACAAGCAAGAAACTCCTAAAGAAGGACCTATTCCGTCTATAAAATGTTAGGACCTTTCATGTTAAAGCTTGAAAATACTGTGACTGATATATGAAAAATATCAACTTAGATTTGTTAATAGGATTATATACTAAGGTTCTAAAACATATATATATACATATTCATAATGCATGCATATATTTTTAAAAGTATTTACTCACAGTCCTCTCACCTCCATCCTCATTTTCTAATAAAATTTGCATTAGACAACTAATCTCTTTGAACCCAGGTTGCTTATGTGTAAAATGAAGGAGAGGGTCAGTTGTTATGACTTTTGTTCCTTCTTCTAGTTTTGGCCATGAGACAGCAGAAGTCTCTTGTAACAGAAAATTAGTTAATCAGCTAACAATCTTAAATACTTAAAAAGGCAACTCTTCAAAAACTCTTCAGGACAAAAGTATTACTCCTTCAAATTAGCAGTGATGCTCCTGAGACTGCAGTCAAAGAAGCAGGGAGGGATTATGTACTCTCTCACTCAATGATTTCATAACTTAGCAACTTCAACAATAATAACAACAAATAAAGGTAGAGTGAAGATTTTGTGAGCAAATATTGTATTTTCTATTTAACACGTTTTTACTAAATTAATCAGTGACTATTAGTAACAGAATAAAAAGGTATACACTACAAACAGTATCAGTAAAGTTCTACAAAAAGTTAAGAAACTATTGCATGTGCACAAAACCAGGCATTTTGGAAAAGTTCTTACTTTATTTTTCTTCAACATGTTTAATTCTTCAGTAAAGCACCCTTTCTAGAAAACAGTAGTAAGTAACAAAATTCTTAAATATACAATTACTCATGCATTTAAGCTCTGTATTATTTACACTATATTACAATTAAAATTAGATAATGGCTGGACACTGGTGACTCACTCAGGAGACTGAGATCTGAGAATTGTGGTTGAAGCTAGCCAGAGCAGGAAAGTCCTTATCTCCAATAGACTACCAAAAAGCTAGAAATGGAGCTGTGGCTCAAATGGTAGAGCAGTAGCCTTGAGGAAAAAAAATTCTCAGGGACAGTGCCCAGTCCCTGAGTTCAAGCCCCAGGACCAGCACAAAATAAATTAGGTAATGCTATTTCAAACATGCATATAAATTTTATAGCTAAAACACAAACATAATAAACATTCAGTAGAAGAACAAATCCAGGAAACTATAATAAATGTTGATATTCATATTTATGTTTTTCCTTGTTACAGTTCCCTGTTCTGGACAGCTTAGAGAAACTACCATGTCTGCATTCTTTACGAAAGGTTAGGTTCTATATTCTTTATGTCAGGTTACGTGATAAACTGACTCCTCAGAGGACTAGTGCCCTTCTTATCCCCTGGGGACTACTAGGATCTTTTAACCAAGTAAATCATTGGTATCCTTGGGTACCATGTGTGGTCATCTCTCTGCCACATTAATTAGCCCACCTAATGCGACATCTCATCATTTCCTTTCTTCCCCAGATTTTGCGTCTTTCATTGTTTTACTCTGCATTCCTTCCATCTCTCTACCTCTCCATTTTCCCTGAGACCTGACTCACCACAGAAGATATGATGTTTTCCTTATATGCTTCTCTCAATTAAAAAACTTCTCCTTCTCCAAAAAACTCACACATCTTAAAGTCAGGATGTAGAGCAGCACTTCTCCACACTTCCCTCAAATTGCTTCCCTATCATATTATTTCACAGGAGGAAAAGTTTTCCTCTTTAAGCTCCATGCCATCTGGTGATTCTATTGTTTCTCAGACATTTGAATCATTTTTTTAGTGAAAATTTGTTTTCCTATGCATATGAGTTTGAAGGCAGATAATAAAAGGGTGTCTCAAGTACAATAAACCACAATAACAAACACAAACTGGACAGTGTGGCAGCAAAGTGGAAAAAAATTTATACATACTTGGATTACTTCATAAAGATGTACTTCAACACTCCCTAAAAGAAAAGGAATATTTTCTGAATTGACATATTGCATTAGTTCCAACAAAATTTTATTGCGCTCATCCTCTTGACGTCTGGGAACCTCAATACAAAATATATGAAAAGAAGTATTAAATCTTCAGTTGACTTTCAGAAATAATTTTAAGTCAATACATCTATAAATTATATTGTGGGCATAGTAATTGCTAGATTTTGTATGTAACTAGCTTTGTAACTTTTCAAGCTTACCAAATATAACATATACTCTAATCACAATACAAATCAGGATAATTTTTATGTCTAATGCCCAAATGATTTTTTTGGAATCTTAATTCTGTATTCACTCTCAAAACTTTGTGCTGGCCAGGAGCCGATAGTGATGCCTACAATCCTAGCTATTCCAGAGGCTGAGATCTGAGTATCACAGTTTGAAGGCAGCCAAAGAAAGTCTGTGAGACTTTTGTCTCCAATTAACCCCCAAACGTTGGAAGTGGAACTGTGATTCAAGTGGAAGAGTACTAGCTTTGAGGAAAAAAAAAAACCTCAACAGTGCCCAGGCCCTGAGTTCAAGTCACACAAGTCTAAGTTCAGTACACACACATACACACACACACACACACACACACACAAAGTGAATTACATTGTCAAATATATATAATATCCAATCTAATAACTAACACAAAATCAAAAGAATACAAGTAATCCAAATATTTAATATTAAAGAATATTAATATCCTTTTTGGTTTATTAGTTTATTTGGTGATCTTTATTCTAGTCTACTATTTATTGTTTATTTATTATTTATTGTGGTTGTTGGGATTCAATCCAGAGTTTCCTGAATGCTATGCTAGTTAAGATTGGGGAGAATGTAGTTCCAAGCCAGTCCAGACAAAAAAGATCATGAGACGTCATCTCAACAGAATAAGCTGGACTTGGTGATATGTGCTTGCCTGTCACGCCAACTATAAAAGGAACCATAAAGTAGGAGGATCATAACCCAAGTCAGCCTGGGCAGAAATCAAGATCCTTTTTTACAAATCAGAGCAATGAGGTTGTAGGTGTGGCTCAAGTGTCATAGTATCTGCCTAGCAAGTGGGAAGCCCAGAGTTCAAACACTAATACCATCAAAAAGAATTTTAAGGTTGAAACACATAGGCCAGGAACCAAGGGCTCACACTTGTAAGCCTACCTAATCAGAAGGCTGAGATCTGAGGATAATGGCTCAAAGCTAGCCAAAGCTGGAAGTGGAGCTATGCTCAAGTGGTAGAGCTCTAGTCTTGAGTAAAAAAATGCTAAGGTACAGTGCCTAGGGCCTGAGGCCAAGGCAGGTCCAAGTCCAAGACTGGTGTACATAAGCGTGCGTGCACGCGCACACACACACACACAGTAAAATAAATAAATGTGTAAGATAGATAAACAAGGTAAATAAGTAGACAATGTCTTTGGAGACTGTGTTACAATTAAATATATACTCTATATGAAAACAATTAGTCTATATAAGGGGATTAAAAAGAGGACAAAGGAGGGAAATTTTTTAAAAGAAAAGATGAAAAAGGTAGATAAAATGGACAAAACAAAAAAGAACATAAACACTAAAAGCCAGACAGTAACATTTCAAGGAAGAAGTCTACTGAGATAATGAGTATACTGAGATAACATACTTGTCAGTAAGTTTCTTATTATCAAGAAAGAAGTCTACTGAGATAATATACTTGTCAGTAAGCAGCTTATTAAAAACATCACTACAATCCATAGCTTAGCAGATAAACAGTATAAAACACAAAATTAAACGCATCACTTTTATTTCCTTACTACCTATAAAATGTATAATTAGGATGGAATATGTGAAACTATATAAAGATATTATTATCAATACAAGAAAATTTATTATTACCTGTATAGTAAAATACTTCACATCACTAAATATAATTACAGGGTTCTTTTCATTGCTACTGGATGTCAAATTATAAGTTTTTGTACATTTCACAATGGTGTTTATTGATATCCGAATGAACAAATTATCTTGATGAGCACTGACTTAAAATGTTTAGGAAAAAATTGTTGTAATTTAAAAATAACACATTAAAAAATTAATACATTGAATAATTCAGGTCAAAATATTAAGAAGCAAGTATTTTAGAACATACAAATGGCAAGTCTCTTAAAATACTATTTCCCTATTGCCAGCAGTCACATATAGGCCAGAAAACACTTTCCTCTTCATGAGAACACTGAGCATATCTTCACCCCACACTCCCATCCTTCTTCCTTTGCAAGTTCTTCTTTATATCGGTATTAAAGTGACTAAGAATATGCAATATATCCCTGAAATTTTCTGACGTATATCGTGTAGAGTTTGTTTAAATAAATACACACCACTTGAGGATATTTTCAGTTTAACACAAAGAATTTTTAGAGAAAAGTATTATACTTTATTTTACTATCTGCTTCTTGTATACTATTATTGATATGGATTGTTATCTTTCATAGTACTCCATGAAGTAAAACAATTTTCTTCTCATGGTTATCTCAAACAAATCTCCATATAGAAGTTTTTTTAATTCCCCTTATGTAGAAAATAAACACAAATTGTCATTATGAGACTGGCATTATACTGTGACTAGTCTAAAAATAAACATTCAATTTATTTAAGACACTGATATAAGCTAAATCATTTCCAAAATGTTTAATGGAAGCATGTATACTTATAAGTAAATTAGCATTATGGCTTCAGAAATATTCTTTTTCCTTGATGTTGTATGATGATTGTTATGTAACTTATAGATATCCAAAAATTATTTTCTCACTTCCACATCAAAAAGTGGAGTTTATTTTCCTTCCCCTTGAATCTGAGCTAGCCTTGTGATCATTTAAACTCGTGAGCACAGTGGATCTAAGTAGCCTGGAACTGGGATGGATCAGAGGCACCAGCCTAGGGTGTAAATTGAGGAGACACTGAAAGCATAAGTAATCAGTATTTTTTAAAATAACATTTTATCTACTGAGGGGCATCTGGGTTTGTTCCATATCTTAGCTATGGTAAATAATGCTGCAATAAACATAGTTGTGCTGGTAGCTTTAGTGTGGTCTTGTTTGTGATCATTTGGG